ACACACACATACACAACGTGCACCTCACCAACCAGTGATGGAGCGTAAGCTTTGTGGAATATTTTGGACTCCGGCCAGAATTTGGCCCGCAGCATGTTTTCTGGGAGTGTGAAAGAAAAATGTATGCTGTGCTGGTCATAAAGTGTACCAATGCACAGACTGGCTTCATAGCTTCATGGTTTTTCACTTCTTTTTTTTTTCATGAGCAGTCATTTTCTTTTTTTTTCAAGTACATCATGATGCAGCTGAGGGCCCAGTATTGACATATGGACACCCCAACATGCAGATGATTCAACTTGAGGATTCTTTAAACTCAACAACATATGAACAATTTCTATGACATGAAAACTATAAAAATTTCCTGATGAAGAAATTTTTCACATTTTTTAATTTTTTTGGGAAAATATGATGTATTGCCATGAAAAACCCTGTCAAAATATAATTTCTTATTAATTTACTCCATTTCGATTTTTAAATGAGGCAAATTGTGTGCTTGTCATGTTTCAGTGCTGTTCTCCATCATCATGCAGTTATGTGTGAACAGTTACAGTACACCAATATGTAGCTATGACTTCTTCTTGTCTGTACTTCTTCTTAATACAGTACTGTACAGTCAACCCCCGTCTAATGGACTTGATTTGTGCAAGGGAAGAGTCTGTTAGACAAAAAGTCCTTTACACAAATTCAATTACATAAAAAATTGGAAATTTCAATTTTCAACACTAATTTCAAACTGAAAGAAGTCTGTTTGGTGGATTTTGTCTGTTGGGCGGGAGGAAAAACTGCTTGCAGAGCTGGTCTGTTTGGTGACAATCCCTTACACGGGAGGTCTGTTAGGCGGGGGCCACGGTATATCCATTTCTAACATCAAGTATGCATGAGCCACTGCAGTGTTGACTTGGGACAATACATTACAGCAGGTATAGTGCATGCAATTTTTGTTTGCTGGAGGTTTGCATTTTGCAGTAGTTATATCTACCTCTCCTTGTACAGTATTTCCAATTTTGTCAATTGATTTACCTATTATGAACATTTATTCATAGGAAGAAGAAATTTGCATTTGGAGATGAACTCAGTCTAATCTCTACAGGCAGAAAAAATTATGAGAGTAAAATGCAAAACACATGCTATTAGAATATTGGACTTGGTACTGTACATGTCTAACCTGTTTATGTTAATGCCATTACTCTTGGTGAATGATGTGCTTATATTACACATCATGAGAGCATTTGCAAAAATTCAAAGGATAATTTTAAGCTTTTAAAGCCCATATACCCATGTGCAAACATAATTTGTTTCACAAGTGTACACTATCATCATGCAGGCATTAAGANAAATTTACGCAGAATGGAGAACAGTGCCGCGACTCACGCGCAGGTGGCGCCGCCTGTAGTTCGCGCCCCTGCTGCAGCAGCGACACCCAGTGGAGGTGGACACAGCAACAAAGAAGAGCAGCTGTCTCGGATGAGTGCCCAAGTCCGGATCGGTGGCAAGGGTTCAGCCAGGCGCAAGAAGAAGCTCGTCCGACGCACTGCGACTGCAGACGACAAGAAGCTGAGTTCGTCTCTCAAGAAACTCAATGTCAACACGATCCCGGGCATTGAAGAGGTCAACATGATCCGAGATGATGGCACTGTGCTGCATTTCAATAATCCAAAGGCAAGTAAAGTAAAATAAAGTGATCGCAGGTATTTAAATATTTCTGACGACGTCGTTAAAAAACGAGAAAAAATAGATCGAAATTGCCTCCACGATTTCCGAGTATTTTCTGTTTTTTTAAAGATTTTCAAGACAATGCGTATTGAAAATGAAAAAAGCGTGATTTTCCCCCTATATCGAACGAAAAAAAAAAATCAAATTTCGTTGTTGTGCTGGATATCAAGATCTTCACATCCAATGACAACTTTTTTCGTTTTTGGAAAATCAGTTTTTTTAATGATTGAACTGGACGAAACATCTTGGGGGTGAGGGGTGACAACCTCAAGTTCGTGACAATTAACAATTTTCTTAACTTTTCTAATTTTGCTGCTAATTTTGTTTTTAATTTGCTCTGAAATCCGGTGAATGTGTTCAAGGGTACCAAATATGCCTCCACATTCATCATTCAAAATAAACTCAGAAAAATATATTTTTCCAGGCACAGAGAGTCAAATAATATGCTTTTGACGTCAAAAGAGATGCCTTTCCACCTGGAACATTTGTTGAAAAGAGATCTACTGTGTCTTGGAAATTTTAGAAAATCGGAGATTACGCATTCTTAAAGGTCCAATTTACATGAGTCAAGGGCCGGTGTTTTACAAAACCTTTTTGAAATCATGGCGAAGTGAAATCAGCTGAATGTTTTGAAAGGTAGTTCATATCATTTTCTGAACCAATATGTGCAATGTAAATAGCACAGGAAAACATCTAAGTACCAGCTCATAGATTGACATGTATATTGAATGTGATTGATGTTTATAAGGACTTTGACTAACCAAGTTTGTCCCATAAATTTTGACTGAAATGTTGATCTCGAACATTTAAAAAAAAGTTTCCTCATTTTTCTTCCCATTGACACGCACAGTATATATTTTTGTTATTTTGAAAACCGCGCGAAATTTAAAAAAATGCTGGTCCATCAATAAAAGCAAATGAACTTCAACTAAATTAGACCACGTAAAAATCGGAATTGATTTTTTAATTTGTGTCATCACTGATAGTAAACGAAATTTAAAAATGAAATCAAATCCTAAATTTGCGGTTCCCTTCACGACCACCAGGTTCAATCGTCCCTCAGTGCAAATACCTTTGCAATCACGGGTCACGCGGAAAACAAGCAAATGACGGATCTTCTGCCAGGCATCCTCAACCAACTCGGTCGGGACAGTCTTTTGCATTTGAGGCGCCTGGCTCATGGAAACAGTGGTGCTGGTCCACTAGATGGCAGCGCCGGAGGTGGGAAACACGCCGCGCCGTCACAGACCGCGACATCTGGGGAACCCGGAGCGCATCACCACCATCGTCATCACCACCACCACCACCACCATCACATCAACAAGGAAGGCATCCTCGAAGAGGATGATGATGATGTCCCGGATTTAGTGGAGAACTTTGATGAAGCGAGCAAGTTGGAGGACAAGATCATTGATCACGCGAGTGAGTTTAATGATAAGAAGATTACAATATTTTATTTGACCAATGTGCTTCTGTGCTAATTTGGATCCCCGTGAGTTTCGGAAATGTCCTTCAAAACGAAAAATGACAATTCCACATTTAGACTCTCTGTACACTAACAATAAATCCTGATGAAGGCGTGAATAGAACACAAACATGAATTCATCGTCTTGAAAACTAGAGGTGCAATTTTCAGTGCAATAATATTAACCCGAATAAATCCAAAACAAGTTCTGATTTTTACAAAATCCCCTTAAGATTGATGAAAAATCTTTCATAGATCCACAACTCAAGTGTGTGAGTAAAATCTTATATCATTAGTGTCTGATTAGCAGCAACAAATAATCAGTAAATAAAGTAACAAGTACTGCAACCATTGTCCAATCATTAAAATTAATCTAGAAGAACTCTTACAGCCTTTCTCATTTACTAAATAAGATGAATTTCAGAAAAATACACCTTTGGTACAGGTGAATTGAAAATAATGGAATAACTTTATTTCAATGTTTCATGAAAAGAAGCCAAATGCTGGACTGTTATCATAAGTAAATGAAAAATCTCCAGAAGATTATTAAACAATTTATAATCCAACAACTTTTTGCTCAGAAGAGCCCATAGCATTTCTGAATTAGGAAATAAGAGGAATTTTAGAAAATATACTTTTGTTACATATGCATTGAAAATGGGGAATAACTTTAATGCAATGTTACATCAAAAGAACCTGAGTGGGAAGCCAAGTTCTGGACTGTGTACCAATGAGTAAATGCAGGATTCCCAAGAGAGCATAAAATATATCATAATACACAGTATTTGATTGCTTCAAATGTTTGATTAATTTTTCAGTTCCATCAGCTCTCATAAAAGAGCCAAGCACAGAAAATGAGCAACAGAAGCAAGCCACTGTTGAACCCTTAGTTCTTCCACAAGAGCCTGAAAAGGCCAAACCTACTGAAGAACTGAGCAAAGCATCAGAACCAAAGTCAGCAGAAGAGTCAGAACGTATACCAACATCTGTTGAACCAAAGAAAGATGCTGAATCAAAACCAGTTGACAAGCCACAACCTGCTGCTGCTGGGGATGCTCAAGGAAAAGCAGGCAAACACAAGAACAAGAAACAGCAACAACAACAACAACAACAACAGGAAAATCCCATGCAAGCCAACAAGCAGAATAAGAAATCCAAGGATAAGAAGTCTTCTACTGAAGAACCAAAGCTTGTGGCACCAGCTGCAGTAGAAGAAACCCATGAGAATATTCTTATCCCTGCTACTGCATCCCCTCCTTCAGTCCTTCCAGAAAATGATGCCAAACCGGTTCAAGAAAAGGTACCACCAGCAACAACCAAACCTGAGTCTCATCAGCAAGGCAAGAAATCCAAGAACAAGCAACAAGCTCCACCTGTGGACTCAGTGGTACCAAGTGCTGCTGCACCAGCTCCACCAGCTCCAGAGATAAAATTAGCCCCAGAACCATCCAAAGCTGCTGACATACCTGCACCAGCAGTTCCTAGTCCATCAGTAGAAGTCAAAGAAGAAAAAGCTTTGCAACCACAAGCTACTGGCAAACCTTCTGATGCTCCCAGTGTCCCTCAACCACCACCAGAAATGAGAAAAAATGATGGTAAACCTGTGCAACCTCAAGCTGCTTTGCCTGCTGCTGCTGCTACCACTACTGAGAAACAACCTGAACCAGAAGTACCACCAGCAGTGTCCACTGCTGACTCTGTGCCACCACATGCTACAGGATTGCCTCCAACAGGTGCCATTGCCCCTCCAGCAGACGTTCTTAAAAAAGATGAAGGTAAACCTGTGGAACCACAAGTTGTTGTCATGCCTCCAGCAGCAGCAGCAGCAGGTCCTAGTGTCCCAGAAGTCAAAAAGGAGGAAAATAAACCTGTTCAACCACAGGCTGACAACAATAAACAACCATCTCCAGTGGCACCCAATCCTGAGACTGTGCCAGCAGGTGCTGCTGAAAAGCCCTCTGAGGCAGCAGTGACATCTACTGAATCCAATCCTGCACCAGCTAAACCTGCCCCAGAGCCTGAACAACAACAAGCTAACCAGGATACAGCACCTGCTGATGCCAAAACAAAGCAGCCACAGGCACCAAGTAAAACTGCCCCTGCTCCTGGAGGAAGCAGCAGCAGCAGCAGCAAAAAGAAGAACAAGAACAAGAAACACTAGTTTGATAATCCTCCATTTATGACTTATGTCAAGGCATCATCGCATCATTGAGATCAACAGAAAATGATGCCCTTGAATCTGGGCACACAATTTCTTATTTCCTCATTGTATACAGTGGGTTTTTCTTGGCCAAGATATNAAGCCCTCAGATCCATGGCGTGTTGAAGAAGAAAATTTTTGAGAACGATCCCAGCAACATTGAGACAATGAACGCGATCTGCATCTTCACTCTGCAATTTGCTGATGTCCATGCGATGACCCGCTGCCAAATCCGCCCAATCATTGTTGAAGTCTGCCCTTTGTAGCTGAAATTATTTAAAATTTTTCCCACGAAAAAATTCAGGTGTTTTTGCTAATATTTTTCCAATGGTTTTTTTTTTTTGCCCAACCGTTCTTCCGAGGTCAGTCATTTTCAAGAGAAGTTCTTGGTCCATTTTCAGTTCATCCAACAAACCAGTTGCGTAGTCTGCCAAGAAAATGGCATCACTTTGTCCGTAGGGATCTAATGATGCTTTTTCATCTCGAATTCCAAGCTGAAGGTATTCAAAAAGAGCGTAAAAAGATTCTATTTGGATCGGGCTTGATTGGCTTTCGTCGTACAAGTCCTTCCATTCCCTGTAAAAAATATTATGATCATAATTATAACTAATTGTAGATGCAGATTTCTGCAAAAAAGAGGTTTGGTTTGAATAATTATTCTTCATCAAGTCAAACAAAAAGTGCTGAATCAACCTCGTCAGCATCCACTTATTGGTGTAGGAACATTTTTCAACCTGTGGAAAGTGGATGAAAAGGAATTTACTTCTTGACAACTGACTGGTCTCACACTCACTAAATTGAAGCATGAACAGAACCTGCCACAAAAATGAAGCTGAAAATTCCTTTCTTACGGTTAATGATAAATATTTGGGCAAACATTTTTTGTCTGGACTAAATAAATACAATTCTTAAAAATAAAAAATATTTATTTTCATTTTATTCACAGTCAAAACATTAGTCCAGCAACAATTTAAAATAGACAAGTTTTAAGAGAGCCTCATTAAACGTACACAAGAAAGAAAGAAAATGCGTCACACTATTAACATGAGGTGACGTGAGAAGAGAAAATTCAAAACAAGGAAACAGCTGCAGGGAAAAAACCTTGTGCACTTCCTTGAGGCGAAGTGTAATTTGAAAATAGAGGTCCTCTAAACAAATATAAAGGTTTCCTGGATAACAAATTATTGAGGCACACATTTTCAATTACAAAAAAACCACCAAGAAGCATTTTATCCTAAACTAAAATTTGGAAAGCAATGAATCGATATGTTTGAAAATCCTTGGAGCAGTTGCTGGATGAATGTTTTGGGTTCAAAATCCTAATTAAATTTATAAAATCATCACTACAAAATGCGCTTGGGAATTCCAGCTGTTTACACACTTTGCAATTGGTCAATTTTGAAAAATCCGTCATTATTTGTCTTTTTGATCCGAGAGTGGAGCATAATTTTTCAATGTCTGAGTAAATAAATTAATTTTTTATTAAGAGTTATCCACCATGTTTGTGTTCCTCAAACGAAGACTTGTGAAAGTGACGCAATAATTTTTTTTTATAAATTCCTTGAAACATTTTTCGATTGCAATATTTTCTTCCGCTTGCAAAATAAAAAAAAAAAATAAATAAATAAAAACTCCGAGAAAGAGCGAAAATGTCATTATTTCACGGGAATATCCGCAAAAATATATTAATGAGCCAAAATAGATAGTTTATAATTACCTCAAACGAGACGTGAAATGACCTCCGTTTTGAGGGTCGGAGAAAATATTTATTGAAAATGGACCATTTCCGGACACCAAACGTTGGATGAAGCCTTTGATTTCCGCAATTGTTTCTGGGTCCGTATCCGGGTTCAAACTTCCTTCTCCATCATCAAACAGGATTGATCTGACAAATAATTGCACTTTTGACAACAGGTTGCTCCTCAGGGATCCCTTGGGTTGTCGGATGATGCACTGAAGAACTTTGCCCATTTTCTTCATGGGGCATTCGTCTGGACTGAATTTGGTGAGAAGATTGATGTTCACATCATGCAACCATCAATAATACATTCATCTGAAATTGATCATTTTCTACGCCTGTTGGCACTTGAATATTTTTTTATTTGGATTATGCTAACTAACTGGATTAGAAAAGTAAAGATGATATTTCAAAATAAAGTTCATAATTTGGAAATATTTTACAGTAGGAGGTTCCACATGATGGGATGATCAACTTGGTAAGTGTTTTTTCCCCTCATAATATTCCCATTCAAGTATTAAACTCAATCTCTAATGAATCAATTTGAATATTTATTCAAGAGCAAGGAATATCAAACTATACACAAGCATTTTCAAGTTAAATTTTATTTTTAGGCCAAGTTCAGTTCTTTTCATTTTTTGACAAAAGCTAAAACTAACCGTTTTCATTTTGTGTTTTGAAGAATAAGAAAAGTTTATTTGGTTTTATTTACTTTCTGTGCTTTGTATGTTTACCTTCCGCTATCCTGAAGTGACTTGCAGGATTTCAGCATTCCACTGACATCCATTTCAAAGTCAATCATCCTCTCTGAAGAGTGTGCTGGAAACCTAATTGGTTGGCCATTGAGGAATCTGATTTTGTATTTTGGTTTCTGCTGATGCATGTCTCTCATAGCAGCACTTTTCCCACTGACTTTTGAATATTTTTCTCTGCCACCACCGGATTTATTACCTCCAGAACCATTACTGTTGCCATTTTTCCCTTTGGAATTGTTACCACCCTTTGATCTTCCATTGTTTGAAGAGGAACCACCAGGGTTACTTTTTCCTGAACCTGAGCCATTTTCATCACTGCTGTCATCAGTGGAGTATTCTTCATAATCAGTGTTTCCGCCATTATTGCCTTGATTGTTTTTGTTGCTGTTTCCATTATTGCCTTGATTATTCTTGTTATTTCCTTGGTTTCCTTGGTTGTTGTTGTTGTTGTTGCTTCCATTGCTGCTACTGTTGTTTCCTTGATTGCCTTGGTTGTTTTTGCCATTTTTGCTTCCATTATTACCCTGATTGTTATTCCCATTGCTGCTACTGTTGTTTCCTTGATTGCCTTGATTGTTTTTGTTTCCATTGCTGTTATTGTTGTTGCCGCCATTGTTGTTTCCATTTTGTTGATTTTTGTCACTATTGTTTGAATTGTTGGAATCCGTGTCGCCACCTTGGTTGTTTTTCGAGCCACCTTGATTATTTTTGTTGTTGTTGTTGTTGCTGGAATTTTCTTGACCGCTGCCACTTTTCCCGCGCGAACTTCCGCTTCTGCTTCCGGATCTACTCGAACTTCGCATTTGACCCATCCGGTTGTTGGTGCGTCCTGTTGTTGCTCTTCCGGTATTGAAATAGCCATTATTGCCGGAATTCATTGTTGCATTGACGTCTCCCGGATAATAATCCGACGAGTCTTCCTCGCTGCTGCTGTCATTGTTGTTATTGTCGTCATAATTAGTGGTTCCA